TAAGGCATAAGAAGTAGCAGCAACTACTTCAACAGTAATAGGGATGGTTGCTTCTTCGATCTGGATAGGCAGATCTCGAATAATTCCTAGGGGTCGAGAGGAAGTTCTGGTAGCAAAAATGATAAGGCTAGTCGAGGCTTGTTCGATTTTAAGTTCTAATTCTTGCACTACTTTATAAGCAATCATACTAATAGATGCTCTGCTATCTACAATAGCTTGATAGGGTCTGTTTCTAATTTGGATATTGCATTTGACAGGTGTAGTAGTTGGTTCAGGAGTAATGATAAGAGATTTCGCTTCTTGACTTAGGTGAGCAGAAAGAGCACTTCGGATAGAGGGGTTGTCTAGTAGAGTTTCCCATTTCTTTTGGCTTATAGGTGATGAGGATTTAGAGTTCTGGTCGAGGTAGTTGACATTACAGTGGTAAAGAGAAGGTGAGCGATTGGAGGATCGTCTAAAGTTGTTAGTGTAGGAATAGTAGCTATCTCGTTTTTGAGAATAATCTCAATATTGGGGATAACTATCATGGCTTCTAGATCTATTCCTATCTCTAGATCTACTTCGGTCGAAAGATCTGGAGTAATTTCTGTCTCGGCTTCTAGATCGATCATTTCTTCGATTACTGTAACGATCTCGGCTTCTGTCTCGTGATTGTGATTGATCCTTCTGTTTAGTACGACATTGGGCAACAAAATGTCCAGTACGTTCACAATAATGGCAGGTAGGTGGTTGTCTGATTCTATTAATAGTTGTAGAGTTTTCAGCATAATGTACGGAAGTAGGTGCAGGTTTCTGTTGAGCGAGTTTAATACTAAGTTGAGCTATCTGGTCAGTTAGTTGTTTGATAGCTTGGTCTGTATTTGTGGTAGGTGAGGATATAAGTTAGCCATTTTCCCAATTGTGAGTAGCATCGATGACAGCATTCAAGTTAGCAGGTCCTCCAGCTTAAACTCCAATAGCATATTCGGGTCGAAGTCCTTGGATAAAAAGTTGAAGAATGAAATTATCAGGAAAATCATCGTTAGGGTCTACACGGGCTTGTAATTTCTTGAACCGGGTTACATAGGCATCGACTGAGTCTGTTTCTTGCTTGATGTCAAAGAATTGTTTTTGCCATTTGATCTTTTGATTAGTGGAGCTGAACTTAGTTTTAAAAAGATGGTAGAAGCTTCGGTCTACATCGTGTGCATTCTTAAAAGCATTAGGCACTGGGTTAAGACTTCAAAACTATTTGGCAGCAATCTCTTTCATATAGGCTGGGGCAAAAGCAAGTTGTTAAGCAGCACTCCAGTTATTAGCAATAGCAGCTCGTTCAAATTCTTCTAACCATTCTATAGGGTCTTGTTTTCCATTACCAGTAAAGAAATCAATTCTGAGGAAGGACTTTCTCTGCCGGGCACAAGGGCATTGGCCATGTCAGTCATAGCTTGAGCAGCATTATTGAGAGCAGCTTCAACCATGTTTACGGGTAGTACTACTGGTGGAGGTATTACAGGTGGTTGTGGTGGTGGTAGGTTAACTTCGGGTTGCTCTGGAAGTGGTAGGTATGCTCCAGGTGGTGGTAAGTTATTGTTGAGTTGTTCTTGGTGGTTTTCTGGTAATTCAAAGGTTTCAGTTGGGGTAAAGATTTCTTGGACAGTATTATCAGAGTCAGAATTATTTTCTTGATCTAGATTTCCTGGAGGTGGGGCCTCTTCTCTTTCTAAGGGATGTTCTTCTATATGCGCTTCTGAAAGAGAGACAAGGTCTACTTCAATAAATTGTCCTTGAGGTATTTCAAATGTATTTTGAGGGGAATGTTGAAGAGGTTGATAGTGAAAGTTATCTGTTTCGTCTTGGTAAGAGGGTAAACTAGAAGGAAATGGGGTCTTTAGGATAACTCGTTGGTCTTGGTAGCTAAAACTATAATCTTTGTCTGGTTGATGTTGTATGGAGAGTTCTAGATTTCCAAAGTATCTTTCGTATTGTCCTGGGTCTTCGTATCCAAAACTATAAGCTAAGTCAATGTAGTGGTCAAAGACGTTTTGGTATTCGAAGTCGATAGTAGGTAAAGTAGTGAGGTGTGTATATCTGGTAAGTAATGCAAGAGCAATTTCTCTTGGATCTCCAATATCTTGATTGTATCGGCAACTAAAAATAATGTCTTGGATGGAGGTGCGAATAGAGGGTCGGTCTTGGGTTACAGTTAGATGTCCAAAATTTGCAGTAGTTCGAGAGGTATAAGAATAAGCAGAATAGGTGTTAGAATACCAATTCCAAAATCTTCCAAAATTACTTCGATGGAAAGTAGAGGACTGGCTCTGGGTGGTGGGAAGCAAGCTTGGCAAGAGAGATCCGGGTTTAAGGCTTGTAAAGTTGTATAAGGAAGAGCAGGGTTTTGGATATGTTTGTGTTCATAGTTTTCAATATATTCATTGTGTAGTTGAGTAACTCTATCAGTTATAGAGTAAAGTCCAAAGTCTACAGTCCGGCTAAAATAGAAAAGATAATAATAATAATGTTTCTTGGGGTTGGATCCTTACGCCTATACTTTGGCTCGTGAAGAATCTGTCAATTGTTTTTAAGGTTGGATCCTTACACCTACACTTTGGCTTGTAGGGAATCTGTTAATATCCTAGGATAATATTGTCTAGGCATCAGCTAGAGGTGGGGTTATCGTCCGCAATACTCAAATTCAATCTGAGATAACTATCCTCTGGTAAACAGCTATTAATTAAGAGGAGCCAGGATAATGTCGTCCGGTATGGGTTTTAAAATGTTTTCCGCCAAGAGGCATCAAATGTTACAGTACTGTGGCCTTCTTAACAGCAGTACTATAACAATGACATGGCTACAGGGATCCTTCACAGGTTTATAGCAGTGTCCAACAGGTAAGTATAATTTCTGCTTCTTGGAGAAACTATACCCTTCTGTCTGTAGCAGTTTGGGCAGACAATAGTTTATAGATAAAATATATGTTTATTAAAGATAAATAAGATAGGCTATCCTTAGGTTTCTATTTCTAAAGAATCCTATAATATTATAAAAGAGAATTTTGGAGAAGTGGGAAGTGGGTGGACAATAACAGTCTGTTGTTATTTCAGGTCTAATGTTAACTTGGGGAAATTTACAACCTTTTTATATTTTTAAAGCTAATTGCTAATTGTTGCAGCTAAGCATAGTTTACTTAGTGCTAAGCGCTAATTGTAATTGCTAATCGTTAAGCGTTAATCGCTAATTGCTAATTGCTAAGCATAATCGCTAATCGCTAAGTGTAATCGCTAATCACTAAGCGTAATCACTAATTACTAAGCATAATCACTAATCACTAAGTGTAATCGCTAATCATTAATTGCTAAGCGTTAAGTGTTAAGGCTAATCGTTATATATGTTAAATTCTTCTCTAAGATAAATATAATAATAACTAATAACTAATGAAATACAAATATCAAAATAATAAAATAATACTAAGATAAAACAATAAGTTAATAAAATAAAACTGTTCTATAACATTTCTGTTCCCTTATAAAATTTGCTCTGCAAATTCTTAATTAAAAACTGATACTCTATATCAGTAAACTTAACAATATAAGTGACAATAAAGTATCGAGTTTGATACAACAACTTTTTAGATCAAATACTAAAGATTTGTTGACGATGAGTGGCTTCTTTCCAAATATCTTAAGTCTTTCGAGAGCCTTGAGAAGCTTGGAGAAGTTTACAAATTTAAAGTCGTTCATCAGTCTGTTTTTGGATGAGAATTCCTAAATACAGATAAGCTTCAATAATTTTTATCTGCTTAGGTTGAGTACATTCTTTGTCTTCTAATTGTAGAATAATCTTAGTTAGTTGGTCTTTCCAAGTTCTACCAATAAAAGGGTTCGAGTAAGTATTTAATTGAGGGGTTAAGGTTTGGGTTAGTTTGTCTCAAACTTTTTGGTAAACTTCAGTGTCTGGTTTAGTTTCTGGTTTGGGAGGAGTGGTGATCAAGGTTGAGTCAATTTCTGGTTCTTTGATTAGAAAGGTATCTAAGAGGGTATCTGTGTTGATAGGTTCAGATGGGAGGTCCAATGCAGTATTTACTAGTATAGTAATGTCACTAGTATCGTTAGGGTCATTAGGGTTCTACAAGAAAACACTTTGAAAACAAATTTCCAAATTATTTTGGGCAGCTGAGTCTTGTCTCCAAATAGTAAGAAAGTATTGGAGGGCTTGGATAGTTACAGGTTGCAAGGTGGTGTTGTGCATTATTAATTGTATATAAATTAGGGAATTTCTGAATAAGGAGTCTATTTATAATTTTTAAAGTTGTACGATTGTCTGTTTCGCAAAATTTTGTCTTTGTCTCTCCCCGTCCAATAAAATTTCTTCCAGAAATTAAGGATTTTCAATGACAATGTTTGGTTCCCATGTCTGTTTCTCATAATACTTTGCTAAACGGTCGCTATTGTAATACTTCTGTAAAACTTTTCCTTCTAATATTCATAGTTTATAAGCGCCATTATTCATCTTAGCTTGAATAATGAACGGTTCTTCCCTTTTGTCTTCAAATTTAACTGATCTTGACTTCTCTAAAGCCTTTAATTGTATCCAAACTTTTTTACCAATTTCGAATTCTTCTGGTCTGATTCTAGCATCAAAATATTCTTTCTGTTTCTGTTGTGACTTCTTGGTATTAACTCGAGCTTCTTCTTGTGTTGTGGCCATTCTTTCCATTAGTTCGTAAGTGCGTTGTAACACACTATTCTGGAGATCAATTTCTACATCAGGGTCCGGCATAGGTTCAGTAGGGATAATAGTTTCGATCGATAGAGTAGATTGTCTACCATACACTAGTTGAAAAGGCATATAACCAGTGGTAGCATGTCTTTTAGTTCGATATGCTAAGAGAACAGCAGGTATATGTATATCCTATTCATCAGTTCCTTTAACCTTCAAGAGTGATTCGCAAAGTATTCTATTAAGACATTCAACTATTCCATTAGTCTGTGGATGGTATGGTGATGAGAACTTGTGTTTGATAAAGAACTTTTCACATAATATTCAAATAGTTTTGCTAATGAAATTTCTTCCTTAATCTGACAGAATTATCTTGGGGGTTCCAAGTCTACAAATCATTTCTTCGAAGATAAACTTTGCTAAAGTTTCTGCTTCGCCATCCAGTACAGCTCAGCTTTTGGCCATCTGGTTAAATAGTCTGTTGCTACAATAATATAGCGATT